AAAAGGTTAAACTGCCGCTACCTTCGTGTAGTTGTGCAACAGCGGCTCCCGCCTGCCTCCTGATGTCCTCACACTGCCGCCGGCGGGGTGATCCCCATGATGAGCGGCGGCCGCAGACGACACGGCCAGGTCCGGCCTGGACCAGGCCCCCTGACCGGACGCGGCGACCGGGAGCGCGGAGCGCCCCCTCCCCCTCCCGGATGCGTGCCCGCCAAACAGCCTCGTCGCCTTTCTCTGACTCGCTCCGGTCGCGCGGACGCGGTCACTTTGCGGCAGAGGAGTCCACGGTCAAGGCTGGGGAAAGGCCTTCGCGAAGGCTGTTTGGTCTTCACTGGATCGTTGGCCCCCAGTCCATGAATCACCGGCGCTCTCGAAGAAAACAGCGTCCTCTGTATGGTCGCGATTTCCCTGGTCGGGAAAGTTGATAAATGAATCGACCCCGGCTTGTTAGTTTGGCATGATGTTTGCGCACCTTCGGCGAACGTCCACTGGGGCACGGTATGTTTGTGGAGAGGGAGGATTCACACGGGCCACCCATACTTGTGGCACACCTTCAGCCGTTAATAAATGACCCGTAATAGCCTCTCTGACAGACTGGACTGTCGAACGTCTGCGAGCTGCGATTGGAAGAACTGGTCAGGATGATGTCTTTGAGCGGAAAACGTTGAATAGAGCTCACTTAGAACGGATCACCGTCGCAGTGGTTTTAGTTTCGAGCTCTCTGCTATCCACAATCTCCCCCTGACTTGTGTGCGGTATCGCTGTATCAGGGACTATCTCCGAGATCCATTGTCTCATATCGACAGTTGCCCATTCATTCATTCATACACATGGTAAGCATCGCCTCTTCTGACTTGTGCCATGTTTTGGGTCATCGTGTCATTGTTTGTGTCTCCTCAGGGACTTTCCCCGATGTATCATGTGTTATATCATGCGAAAAGAAAGAAAACAGGCGTGAGAGAAAAAAGAAAACACCGAGAAGGAGAAGCATGGAGCAAGAAAGAGTGAGAGAGGGACAGTAACAGAGAGACTAAGGAAATCACACCGAAACACATTGTTTCCAGGAAAATGACACTGATGCGAACAGTGACCTCCAGAAGTGATGACCATTGTGTTCATTCTATAACTGTCGTAACATCATGACTATGACGTGATCCTGGTTTATTCTTCTGCCCATGTCATCTTCGTGGCTATCTGGGCTCCTTCGTGACTCGATCTTTTGCACTGCGCTTCTGCACTCCAGCCCACCTCCTGGCTCACGTCAGCTGAGTTTTCTGCATGACCTTTCCTGGCGTAGGAAAACAGACCCTTTAGGGTGCCGGTTTCAGCATCAAATGATCGCCTGAAAAACAACAGCTAGACTCCTGAAAAATTGACCCGGGGTCGCGCTCAGATTTCACGATTCTAGAAGCCCGCAACTCGGCTGAGGTCTGATAATCATTCGAATTCTAATCAGGGTTGAAAGGTGCATTTTATTTAAAGCAGCAACATTGGCATGGAAGAGGTGGTTTCAGTTCAGCAATAGTAACGATAATATGAATGGTATTATCGCCCTTGTATGGCTACGCTCGGTTAGGAGGTCAGGTTCGTTTCGGATGAATTGGCATGGGATCGGTTGGGTTTGATAGGGATGAGTCACATTGGAATAAGCTACGTAAAATTGGATAGCATTCGTTCATCAGCACTCATTAGAACATGTCATCGGCAACCAAATACGATCGGCGCAAGCCCACATTTTGACCTCAATGCTAATTCACCAAAAGGTCGTGTCAGACTGCTGGTCAGGTTAGCGAAAGGTTACGTTAGATTAGCTCTTAGTCTACACCTGGCTGCTTTTTTTCTCTGGGAGTCGCTGGGGTCTCGTGGAGTTGGACCCCGGCCGGTGCTCAGGTTTTTGGGCTAAGAAACTGTGTCGAATTTGCCTGGTATTCACATATTCATGGCAGGTGGATGTTGTATTTTAATTGGTGCCTACCTCGTGATTATTGAAGGTAGGAAACCCTCAGCATGAGAAATGAAACAGCTGGTGCTGGCCATGAGAGTCGGGTTGATACACAGTGGCCATGTCATGACATCACAAGGCACGCTTGGGTTTTCTGCCAAAATTGTCAGTTCAACTGGAATTTCCTCCGGGGTGAACAAGTCAGTGTCCACGTAGGAGCTTATACCTGGCAACAGCGCGTAATCCTGGAGTTATCCCCGCAAGAATTCTAACAAAAAACGACGCAAGTGCAGTCTTTTAGTGTCTTCCGTCGACATGCAGCTGCAGTTGCTCGTTTTCTAGACTGCTTTCGTGGACTGAGGCTCGTGGACACCAGTTTCGCACTAGCAGAAGGCCAAAGGATGAATTGTTTTCTTGCTATCTCCATTTAAAGACCGGCGTGAATTGCATACCATGATGGAAAATCCTAATCTCTCTCTAAAATCTACTTCCTTTACAAATGTATTCATTGAGTGGGACAATGCGAAGTGAAAGGTTGAGCACAATGCCCCTTTCAGCATTCATTGCGCCCGTATCGAATAAGCCTCAAAATGTAGTACCGATTAGACAAGGAATACCGGCTAGAACCCGTCGTTCCTGTGATCATATCCCCGTTGAACCGTTAGTACGGACATCTGTATCTATTTAAAGAATGCATATTATCTTTGTCAGGAGTGTAGGGTTTTCTTGGGAGATGATGCCTGCCCCGCTGCTTTTTTAAAGGCAGTGATCCACATTTATATGGGGGTTTGAACTCAAACGGCCATATTGAAGAATTTTCGGAGCTGTTCACAATCCTGCCCAACTTAAGACCTAACTGAGCTTGTCTAGTTTCTGGACAACACGCCCGCGAAAATGAGGAAAGGTGTGTCGGGGAGAACATTTCAAAGTCATCTTTGCATTCATTAGGTCATAATGACGTATTCCAAATCCTGCCATTCCGTAAGCTATGCGGCAATCAAGACCAGTAAGAATATAATTGTCGATGCGTTCATGTCTGGCGTTCGTGAACGCGATTTCTAGATATAACGATCGTCAACTGTCTCTCAATCAAGGTTGTTCAAGGTACGATGACGTAATCAAACCATGACACATTGATGGGCAAATGGACATATTTGCTAAACCGATTATTGTGCTTTTTGGAGAAGTTTTTGCACTTAAAAATATACCGATAGTTACAAGCGAGTTTGTTTCATCATGTCTGATGCTATCTCAATGTCTTCAAATGTGAAACATTCCTTTTAGACTGCACCTCCCGAACTGCTTGACATCACAGTGACACTCTGTCTGCCGGGGTTTCGAACCGTTTATATTTTGTCAATATATTCAAGCCCATGCAGTGTCAGGTAATTCACCTTTAAGCCGATTTTCAAAGAGCTGTTAGGAACAAATGTGACAGAATGGCGCCCAAAGACATATGCACTGTACCGTGCGCACCAAATTTCTTTGCTTAGCGATTCCGAAAATGTTATATGAACACATTATGACCTCATAAATGTTAACGGTCTCTCCCAATGTTATTCTTGGTCAAAATTAAGTTAAACCATGTCCTAGCCTTAAAATTGCGCCCAAAAGCCCTCCAACCTGCTCGCCATAAACGATGAGTTTCATTGGTGATATAACAACTGTTGAATGTCAAGATCACGAAAGGTCAAATCCTTTAACCGTACGAAATAGCGTTAGTGAACCTGTCGCATTGGGCAAATATCACTGTCGTACACACAGAGCATAAGTGCGAGAGAATCCCAGGCCAAGGTCATGTCATGTCCTGGAATGACTTCAGATGACCTGGCGAAGGATCATGACCAGACAATGACAGCATGACTTGAGCTGCATCATCTCGATTCCGCGGACATATGCTGGGCTACCCAAGAGCGGTAAAAACGTGATTCATCCCCGCTTGACTCAGCTTCACTGCTCAGTCATAAGACGTAAAATAAATGGAAGCCCTGAAAGCTGTAGATTGTTTAGGAAGCCAGCACTCGTTTTGTAGTCTTGCTCTAGCATATCAGACATGACATTGACAAAAGGATCGTACCAGCTAATGCTGCAAGGTGGCGGGACTGATGAATCCAGCGAGGGTCGGCTCGTAAATTTCACTTTTCATCATCATCTGTTCAAGTGACGTGAAGCCCTCTTTAGTCAGATAGTTTTGTTATGAGATGAGTGGAACACGACACCAGCTAGCCAAAAACATCGAATTGGGTCTGAGTGACAGAATGTCCAAAGAGTTTCAGCCGCGTGGCATTCCACAGCACTTAACCTTATTCAGCGCGTTTAACAAATGCCACCGATTTACATCCTGACACGCGGACTGGACGATTTCTAATGACACCTTTTATAGCTCCCAATCATTCTTAGTCCCACATGCCGGGCGAGGATTAATAAGTAATGGGCACTTCCATTCTACTGACAGAGAGCTAATGTGCGAGTGGATTTATGTACGGGGTTGTCCTGCATCTCGGCTCATCCGCGTCAAAAAACCCACGGAATTGTTAACGATTTAAAGGCCAGTCCGGCGGCTTGCTTAAACTGACAGCACGCGCAGATACAGATACTTTAATATGTGCGTGTGCAAGTAGGCATTCATGCTAAAAGGATTGAGACAATCAGTCTTGTGCGTTATCTGCGGATGACGTTGTGAACGCCACCTTTATCGAAAGTATCGCTGTTTGTCACTCGCCTCGTCTAGCGCCCTGCCCAGGCCAAAGCTTCGCGGAACAGTTGCAACACAGAGAGCAGCCTTTCGACGAAATGAAAGATCCAACATGATTCAGGGTGAGATGCAGGTACTGCATTGTACGCATTCACCACGAAAGGTAATTTCCCACAGGCCCAACTCTTCAAGGTACCATAACGGTCGACAGCCTTGCAATGGCGGCACGAGCGTCAGCCTGCACGTGCAGAGTGGCAGTGTCTGTCGCAGGAGGCGCACGGGCCGCCAGTCTGTATAAAGGCCCGACGCCTTTCCCTGCTGACCAGTGACCTGATTCGGGCGGGCGGCGGGCCGCCGCCGAGTCCGCCAGTCCGCAGCCGCAGCCGCGCCGCGCCGCACGCCCGCTCGCGCCACCAGCGGTCCACAAACCGGACGGGTGCGGCGGCTCTCAACTCGTGTCGTACGGCGTGGCGGATCCGGGCGACGACCGCTTGTTCCAGCGGACGGTGATGATGTCCGGCGCCGGTGCTTGTGACCTTAGCTGACCTCAGACATGCGAAGGCGGAAACACTGGACCTGAGACTCCCGAAGCATGATTCCAGCTTTGGATTTCACTTTAGGTGAGGTGCACGGGTGACGTAGTGGGCAGTCTTGTCCAACTCGCCACCAATCTGCGGAGGGTGTTGCAGCGAGTCCCCATCACCTTGCATTCCAGAGACGATAATGGTGACTCACGCCGGGCATCGATGTGGCGGCAGCACGCACGCGCGTGCGCTGTCTTGTTTGAGCCGCTTTTAGAGGCCATGCGTCGGCGTCTTTTCTACCGCCTCGGGCCGCCGCGCCTCGCCGCCTGAGCCTGCCACCAGGCCTGCTCGGCCGCTGCATCGGGGACACCGAACTGAGCGCTCGTCGCCCGCAGCAACTGACCGTGACACAGTGGACCGAGCGGACCCAGTTTCCCCCCAAAGCCGGCCGGCCGACCGCCCGTGAATGGCTATCTGTTCCAAATCCATTGTGACGCCCACCGCATGCATCTCAAGCCGCCGCATGCTCTCGGCACGGCGGACTGGGTTAAACGCGACACTGCGCCAGTTCTGTGGGAGCTTGCTGTCGCGCGCTGACGCATGGTGGTTCTGGTTGGAGTTGTGCTGGACCTTGTCATGTGGAAAAAGCGCGGCGGTGGTGTTTTTATACGTTATCACGTATATGGTAGCGAGTCGCTTCTAGTCGACTCTTTCCATGTCTCTCCCATTCGTCAGCCCGGGGGTTTGAGATTATACAGGGGTTATTACTTGAAATATCGATTCAAAAAAGTGCAAGTGACGACACTGGAAATAGATCAGGCCGCACGATCTGGCAAGAATTGTTGAAATTATTTACGTTGGCGTCTTTCACGCAATCAACGCGACTGGGAGCTAGAGGTGCAGGCCTTTGTCCCCGCAATCAGCGACTCGACACGCCGTTTGCAAGACACCGGAAGCTGTGGGTCCCGTTGATCTCTGTTGGTCCTGCAGGTGTGGGCTCATACTGGAATTTGGAGCGGTGCGTTCAGGGGCCGCCGTGGAGCCGTTTTGCTAAGCAATTCGCCTTTCTTGACTTTTGCTGCGACAGATTATGCGCTTGGTAAGTCGGTGCTGCCGGTTTTATGGACAGCTGAGGGTCTCACAAGCATATCGCACATTTGATTCCAGCGTAGACATCACTGAATGAGGCGAAGTCTTACTATGAATGGCTGAAATACACTACATTGAAAATTACCATCGTTTTATATATAGTTACCCAGGTTCCTGGGGTAAGTGATTTGGCAGGCCCAAGCCTTCTCGTTTATGGAACGCGTGACACTTGCTATTTCGTCTCAGATCTTTGCAGCAGGTAGTGCCACGCCAATCTGGTTATTGGCTGGGACACGTTTTACGGGCCCTGAATGAGTGTCACCTTAAAGACTTACTGATCCTCAACCACCGCAGCCAGTAGGTTCGCACGTGATCAGTGAAACTGCAGGTCCGCTCACGTGCCGTCTTCACCGGGCAAGTGCTGTCAGCAGCGAGGTGGCGCTCCAAGCCTGGCGTACAGATGGCTAATGGCGTCCCTAGCGCTCAATGGGTCGACCCCTGTCGCCCTTCACCCGATTGTCAGCAGTAAGATGACCCTTCAAGCCTGGTGTGCCGATGGCTAATGGCGCCCATCGCGTTCAGTGGGTCGACCCTTGTCGCCCTTCACCCGAGTGGCAGCAGCGAGATGGCCCTCCAAGCCTGCCGTACCGATGTCTAATGCCGCCCCTGGCGCTCAGTGGGTCGATCCCTTGTCGTCCTTTGCCCGGCTGAAAAACGAGCCCGTGCGCCAAAACCACAGCGCCGGAGCTCGCCACAGGTGCGTCACGGTGCCGGCTCGCTTGAGAGCTCCACCCAGTACGTGCTGTTGACGGCAAGGGTGAAACCCGCCGCCGGTTTTTGCACGGACAATGTGAAGGCAGAGAAAGCTCCGAACAGCTGCGTTTTGTGGCGGTCACTGTGATAACGCCCGGCTCGACAAAGGAAAATCAGAATCCGGCAATGTTTCTTGGCAATCAGCTAGGATTCCCGGTGCTCTTCCAGACGCTTTTCTTGATTGAGCTATGATCGTACTATCACAGCGCTTTACATTGTCTGGAATTCAGGTCCGACAGTTATGCTCCTTCATTCGTTCGCCAAAAAGAGGTTTTTGTAAATTGCCCCAGACGCTGATTTGGCTCACTGCCAACCGACGATATGTGAGTTTGTTCAGAAGCCACGTTCGGACACTAGAGCAATGTACACCTCTTTTGAGCCGTTTGCGTCCTGCGCTTGAAGGCTAACCCCGGGGAGTTTCGGTCTAAATCTCAGCCGAGGACGACTTGGCGGCGCACTCCGAAGTTTGCCAATAGGTCGCCTGAGTAAAACCAATCGGCCTTTTCCATAGCGCGCTATCTTAACAAGGTCGGCATCACCAGAAGATGACGGCGATCTAGCCCACGCCGAGTAATCTGCGGGACAGTTTTCTGCCAGTGACACAACAGTGCGCGAGCCAACATTTATCACGTTAATGGACACCAGCGTCATCCTTACAGCAGCGCAGAGTGATAGTGGAGCACTCACAGACGGCATGTTGACACACAAACACGGCCGCTGAGAAGCTCTCGAGAGCCCCGTCACGCTTTCGTGTCAGCTGGCGGCGGCTATGGCTCCGGACAGGGCGGCTCCCCACGCACAACACCGATCAGCGAGCCGGAACGGCCAGAGCCGGAGCCGGAGTCGGAGGGGGCCGCGCCGGACGCGCCGCCGTGACCAAGCAGTTAACGGCTTCAGGTTTGAATTTCTCTCCTGCGAGGGGAAGTGTCACACTTGAACCCTCACTCTCTCGTGCCGTTTTCCCGTTTTTTGTTCTCTCCTTCGCTTTCCGTGTTTTCTCCTTTGCTTCTTTTGCTTTTTTGCTAGCTCTCTTATAGTTATTCCTCGCTTTTGTTACCTTTCCGCCCCATCTTTTGCGTTGCTATTCCTTATCTCTCACGTTTTTCTTTTGTCTTTTTAATTGCACTTGTTCGTTCCCTTTGTTCGGTCCTTTCGGTTTCTATACAGATGTACGCTATGCCAATTCTGTTCCTCTCTTGCTTCTTCACTTCTTTATCATGTATTCTTTCTTCCCACTTTCCTTTCCCGTTCCTCTCCCACAGCCTGTCGACCACCACCCTTGAGCTAGTGTGTGTCTCTCGGTCCTCATGCACTGACACCGGTGCGGTGGGTTAGTGTGTCAGGAATGTGTGAGAAGTGTGCGAACTCCTCACACACTGCTCTCACTCGCCACACCGCCCCACACATCACACCTTCAACTTACCTCCTCCGTCGCCCCCGGCCAGCAGAAACACTGGCAGTAGCTCCCAGCATCGCAGCCACCTGTCTGATCGGGTTCTCCGATCCCCACTCGACGAAAAGTGAAATTCTCACCGAAGCCGGCAAGACTGCTTTCCCAGCTCGAGTCGAACCTGACCCCGACCTCACCGGGCGGGCGCCCTCACCGGCGTGCCTTCCAGTGACGGCCGGCCGCCTGCCTGGCGCGGCCGGCCGCCACCCCGCCCGGTGCGGCTCGGGCGCCCGCTGTTGCCAAACGCTGCATCCGTTGTGGGGTAACACAGAGGCGTGCTCTTACATATGCATGCACGCTGCTGGCGGCTGGGCCATTGTGACGCGCCCGACACCAGCTTTGAGGTCCAGCTAGCTGTTGCTTCATTTGGAGATGTTATCGGGTGTTTTGTAGTGGGCTAAGAGAACAGTAGGCGTTGACATATGTCCCGGGACTCGCTGCTTACGATTCTCGTAACATAATCTCTTGTGTTAAAATTGTGTGACGACTCTGCAGCCCTGTAACAGTCATGATAGCCGTGTAGCTAAGGAGCCGGCACTAAGTCTCATCCTCAGAAACACCGCATACAGTTTTACCGTAGGTCAGAATCAGGAATGTTCCAGGTTAGTTCAAGGACGTTTGCAGTCTATTTATATGACCTATGCACCGTTCCGATTCACGTGATCTGTTATGGTCTGTGATGAACAGGTTAGCAGACTTGAGTGGAAAATGTGTCAGTTACCGAACGATTTGTTTCAAATGGTGAGCAAAAGCTATTTGGGCTCCACATTTGACCTCGGGTGGTCTTTATGTTGACCTGATGTCAGCTGGTGCGACGTGATTGACTCCGATTACCGGGAAGTCAAACCAAGCATGAATAACAGGAAAGAAATCCAAAACAACAGAAGCAAAGCAAACGCAGCAAAGCATCTTCTTCTTGCTACCTGAATAAGCCCAATCATGCGAACCACCATTTATGATGCCAGATATCATATTTACGATGCCTGTTATCCGAACCAATTCCTTGTCATCCAAAATTGGTCGCTTTACAGATGTTACAGATTTGGCCAGTGCGCGTGTAATAGGTATTCTGAAGTTATTCCAGAAATGCAAAGGCAGTACTGTTCGCTGCGCAAGGGGTTACGTGTTAAAGAGACATCGAGTTTACCAAACTCGTTGCTGGTTAAATACGTGAACGTGACGCCGCACGGTCTTTTTTATTAAGTATCTCAATTTCGCTGTGGCTTTCCTTCTTTTTTTCTGCTGTGGGATGGTTGTGAAATGTTGGCCTTAATATCGATTGCATGAGAGAAGAGCAAACCTGTCTGCTAGCAACCCTTTCAGTGACCTTTGAGGCTGCTAAAAAGCAGCCTCAAAGAATTGAGGCTGCTAAAAACCAGTCTCAAATAATGAGCATATTATTTTGCTACAAGCAGCAGTTCCGCTCAAAGAAATTCTAAGCAGCCGAAAAATTGTCTCTTTTGCGTTTCATATACGGCCGTAACACCGTGAGCCGCCACCAAATACGCCACCAAATAAAAGTCACCAACGCCACCAAATAAAAGCTCTTTCATCGCGCTTTCCCTCCCATAAGTCCCATGTTCAAGCTTAAACTTGACAAATTTGTTACAGCGGAAATCAAATTTCTGGCAACAACGAAGTACACCGAATAAGTAAGGACAGCATGCTACTGCTCTCCAAGCAGTTAACTCGATGACAACTCTCGGTGGTCCAGCTCCCTGCTAGCATTCTTTTCTACGCTTAT